TGTGTGTGCATGCCTATGTTTACCTATGCCTGGTGGAAGCCAGAAGTCAAAAGGAAAGTAAGGTGTCATTCTCTGGAGCTGCCCACTTTTTTTGAGACAAAAGTGTCACTATGTATCCCTGGCTGGCCTGGAATTTATTACCTCTACCAGGCTGGCCTAGAACTCAGAGAGGTCCTGGGTGCTTGCATTAAGGCTGTGTACCAACCACTGCGTGTGCTATGCCCAGCCCTGTCCATTTTGATTTTTGAGGCAGGGTTTCTCTCTGGCACCTAGGACTTACTGTTTAGGTAAGCTAGCTGGGCCAGCAAGATCCAGGAATCTATTTCTCCAGCACGGGTTTACACGTGTGCACCGTGCACTGCTTCCTGTGTGGGTTTTGGGGATTGTGCTTAGTTCTTCATTCTTGCACAGCAAGCACTTGATGAGTGAGCCATCTCCTTAATAACCATTTACATGGTATGTCCACTACCTAATTTTGTTATCATGTAAAAGGGTCTTAGAGTGTACAAGAGGATTGTGCATACATATGCTATGCAATTTTCTATGTCATTTTGTGTGAAGGACTTGGGTATTCACATATGGGGATGTCCATGGTCATAGTATAAGGCTTATTTTTGCTTTGGTATTTTGTTGCTAATCACTGTGTGAAAACAAATGGGATAAAAAGTAACAAATACTGGGAATTTCCAGGTTTCAATAAGGAGAGATAATACCCTTATTTTGTAGGTTCTTTCTCCCTGTAGTAACACCAGGTCCTCCATGAAACTGTCACTCAGGAATGTGATTCCCCACTTGCCTGCTGGCCCCAAAGCCTTATTTTGTTTCTCAGTGAGAAGAATAAAAAGAGAAGGGGTGCAAGAGAATTTTTTTTTTTAATGAAGTAATCTGAGATACATATCAAAGTGCTCTTCATATTTTGATACCCAAGTCCAGTTGGCTGTTGAGTTTCCTGCACAGCACAGCTTTCTGCTTAACTATGTTCTTGAATTCATTTTCCACTAGCCAGCTGTGCAGATCTCTTTAAAAATGAACACCTGAGTCCAGCCATTTGGCAAAACTCCCCAATGGTATATCTTTGCAATGAGAATAAAATCTGAAATTATGGCCTTTTATATCTTTTCATGTCATTTTGTGCCACTTATCACCTGTTTTCACTTTAGTAAAGCAACAGCGGATTTCTTTGGTTTGCAGTCACATTTTCCTACCTGTGAACTTTGTAATTGCTACCTGCCTTTGTCTCTTCACATCCCTAACTTGAACATTCAGAGCCTGCTCTAATCAGTTCTCATCAACAAAGCCAGTTTAGCTATTTGGATTATCTGCCTGATACTGATTGATCTTTCCTGTGCTATTATTAGTGTTACTTATAAACTTGCCTGGATTTGTCATCACCTCCAGGCACACCTGTGATGATTATTTATTCTCTGGTCTTGATAGTGAGGGATTGTCTTGGCTGGGTTAATTAAATCGGGTATGGTTCCATTTCCTTGGCTGAGCTTCTAGACTGTTGAGCTAAAGGAACTCATTGCTCTCTGATTCCTGATTGTGGCTGATGACCTACATGCCACCTTGACCCCCTCCCCCACCATGAACCAGAACAAACCCTTTAGTCCTTAAATTATCACAGCAACAAGAAAAGTAATGCAACATTTTTTCAGTTATTTGTTTCTGTCATCTCTCTGTAAAACCAGAGATCTTCTTATACACAGGAGTTAATTATTAAATATATGAATAGGTGATGGGATTTCACAGGTTTTGCAAAGATACTTCTTAACTTTTCCTCCCATGAGGGCTCTTCATTTGAGAGTTTTCTGAAGTCTTTCTATAGACACGTGTTTGCTTTCCTAACAGAACTGCGAGAAGCTGGGTGAGCTGCTGCTGTGTGAGGCGCAGTGCTGTGGGGCTTTCCACCTGGAGTGCCTTGGCCTGACCGAGATGCCTCGAGGGAAGTTTATCTGCAACGAGTGTCGCACAGGTAAGGTGGACTGACACGACTGAAGTTTGTTCTCACGTTGTTGGAAATGCTGCTCTCTGATGCCAGGGCTAGCTGTTGCCCCTGCAGGTGTGGGCCTGTGCAGTCGAAAGTCCCCGAGTAACAGTACAGTGGAGTTCAGAGTGTTGCACAGGATATTTAAATTACAGTATGAGCAGAGATGAGGCAGTGCCAGGAAGGGAAATACTAAGTGTGGTTTTAAGGAAGAAAGAAAAATTAATGTGTGAGGTTGGATTTGGTGGTGCGTGTCTATAAACCCAACACTTGGGACGTGGCAGCATAATTGGGAGTTTGACAACAGCCTTACCCACAAATCAAGTTCTTTGCCAGCACTAGCTATACATGAAAACTGTTTAAAACAAACTACAGCTGTCTAGGAAAGGGGGATTGAATCTGGAAGAGTTAGACGAAGGAAGTGAATGTGATGAAAACGTCCACAGACCTCCCAAAAAACTAACAAAGATTAAGTATAAAAATCATTTATTGGGAGGGAAGAAGGGAGGGAGCTACCGGGGGATACACAGTGAATAAACTGTAATTAATAAAAATAGAAATAAATTAAAAATGAAATAAAATCATTTAGAGAGGGGCTAGAGTGATGGCCCAGGGTTAAGAGCACTGACTGCTTTTCCTGAGGACCTGGGTTCAATTCCCAGCACCCACATGTTAGTTTGCAACTGTTTATACCTTCAAGATCTGACACCCTCACACAGACATACATTCAGGCAAAACACCAGCACACATAAAATAAAAATAATTATTTAAGCTGGGCGTTGGTGGCACATCCCAGTACTCAGGAGCAGGTGGATCGCTGTGAGTTCAAGGCCATCCTGGTCTACAGAGTGAGTTCCAGGACAGCCAGGGCTACACAGAGAAGTCCTGTCTTAAAAAACTAAAATATATATATATATAAATTTAGAGGAAGGATTATTTGAGAGAGTTATGATTGGGTCAAGAAATGAAAACGATCTGTAAGGACCAGCATATAAAGCTCTTTATAAGCTGTACTAAGGAAAGTATCCCTTATTCAACTTGATACATAGATAAAGCACGAAAGGAGGGAAGAGATCAGACCTCACATCATAGTTCTTCCCTTTGTACTTGTGGGGCCCTAGATGTGTGTGTTGCTGCCCAGAGAAGACGTCTGTTCAGTGAGAAGAAAGCCAGTGCAGCCAGCGGGGGAGAAAGCGTAATCCGCTGAGACAGCTGTGACGACAGTGAGGGGGACGTGCAGTGAAACTTATGTTGTGCATCATGAAGATGTCTGACTAACTTAGTAAAGAGCAGCGCACTGCACTGAGCTGAAGAGTGAGCATATGGTAGCCTACACTATTTCTGACAAGGTTTGATTTCAGTGGAGACAAGGAAATGGCTGAGGCGACATTTGAAAGTCAAGGGGAATATCATTTGAGTGTAAAGACTTAGTGTAGGGCTGGCAAGACCCAATGTTGTTTGCCCCAGGACCCCGTACTGGAAAGGTGTGGCTGGTGTCCACAGGAGTGCCATTGCGTTTGTGCACACAAAATAAATGATGTTAAAATAAGATCTTATCCTAACCTTAGAAAAGGCTTATTGCATTTTGTGCCAATAATCCAGATTTGCCCTGTTATCTTTATTATTCTGAAATGATCTCTGAATAAATTGATCCCAAGGTAAAGCTGTTTCTGTTTTTAAGAGTACTGGATAAATTAAACAGTATGCAGCATTTCTGTGTGGCTCAAGTGTAATGTCTTTGATTTTTTTTTTTTTTTTTTTTTTTCCTTCCATGAGACAGGGCTTCTCTGTATAGCCTTGGCTGTCCTGGACTTTGTAGACCAGGCTAGCCTTAAACTCAGAGATCCACCTGCCTCTGCCTCCCTTAGTGCCAGGATTATGGGCATGCACCACCTTGCCTGGCTGATATTTTTGAGATTCGTCTGTGTTATCAGTAGATCATCTTCCTTCCCATCCTTCTCCACTCCCTCTTCCTCACATCACAGCCCAAGCTTCCTTTTTAACTCCTGGCACTCTTCCTGCCTTGCCCTTCTTAGTGTTAAGATTGTAGGTATCGGGCTCGAGAGATGGCTCAGAGGTTAAGAGCACTGTCAGCTCTTCCAGAGGTCCTGAGTTCAATTCCCAGCAACCACATCTATATAATGAGATCTAGTGATCTCTACTGGCATGCAGGTGTCCATGCAGGCAGAACACTGTAAACATAATAAATAAATCTTTAAAAAAAAAAAAAAAAGATTGTGGGTATCGACCACCATTTCTGTCCAGGTCATACTATTGAGCTGTTGAGGTAGAATGTAAGTAGCATACAGTGTGATAGCATTGTGTGGGCTTACATTCGAAGATCCTTTTTGGGTTGTTTGTTTGTTTTATAACCCTGGAAAAGACCAGGCTGCCTCGAACTAAAGAGAGCTGCCTTCCTCTCATACCCACCAAGATTCTTTTGTTTTATTTTTAATGTGTTTTATGTCTCTGTGTGATCTTCTTTTGTTACTCTGAATTATTTTGATGTTTATGAATATTTTGCATGCGTGTATGGCTCTGAATCAGTTATATGCCTGGTGCTTATATAATAGGCCAAAAGAAGATAACAGAGCCCCTGAATTAGAATTTAAAGACAGTTGTGAAGTACCATGTGGACGCTGGGAATTAAAATTGGATCCTCTGGAAGAGTATCTGGTGCTGCTTACTGCTGAGTCATCTCTCCAATCCCATGAGCTGCTGTCTTTAAAAAAAAAAAGAAAAAAAGGAAAGGATTGGCAAGATGGCTCAAGCCCATATAGGTACCCAACACAGAGCCTCGGGCATGAGTTGTTGGTTCCCAGGGCCCACATGATAGAAGGAGAGAACTGACCCTCCAATCTCTATCAGAATATGAGGACGATTTGTGCTCAGTGAAGTGGCCTACACCAGGCACAGGCAAGTGGAGATCTGAGTTTGAGGCCAGCCTGACCTAGTTCCAGGCCAGTCAGAATTACATAGTGAAACACTGTATCAAAAAGATAAAAAGAAAAGTCTCAAACTTTTCTGATAATCCTCACCCCTCTGTCACCAGGATTTGGGGTTATAAGGTGTATTTTAAGAAGTCACCCCAGTCACCCCCTGGCTCTGAGTACTTGAAGTTTATCAGTGACAAAGTGTGGTTTAGTTCTTTCTGTGTCATCATAGTTCATCAGTGTCTCAGTTAGTGATCCTGCATGTTAGGTAAGTATAATGACCTAAGTTGGATCTCCAGAATGCACCAGTTCTATAACATTATCCTTGGGCCTACTTATACGTACCACAACATGTATGAGTTCTCCCACGTACATCATATATTCATATAGACAATAACATGGAAAATAAATTCAAAAACAAAATCTGTCCACGAGTAGAGAATTTAACAGCAGTTATGGAGAACTGAGATGAAGTTGGTCAACAAAATATACAGCTATAATTCGGAGAGAATAAATGGTCTGCTGCATAGCAGGGAGTCATAACTTACTTTTTAAAGACTTGTTTATTATGCAGTGCTCTGCTAGCATATATAACTGCACGACAGAGAGGGCACAGATCTTATCAAAATGGCCATGCGCCACCGTGTGGGTGCTGGGAACCGAACCCAGGGTCTCTGGAAGAGCAGCCAGTGCTCTTAACCTCTGAGCCATCTCTCCAGCCCTTAAGTTATTTTTAATGTGTGTTTCTAAAAAGATGTTAATGCGCAGAGTTCCAATGGTCTCATAACAAAGAATGGTAAATGTTTAAAAGGATAGACATGCTCATTACCCTACATTGACCATGAGACAACATGTAAACTAGCACATTTTACCCCATATAGATGTACAGTAATTATGTTGTAGTTATCAGAAAGACACTTTTTCCAAGAGCGGGTTTCCATGTGTAGCCCATCCTGTCCTAGAGCTCCGCCTGCCTCTGCCTCCCCAAGTTCTAGGATTACATGCATGCACCACCATGCCTGGCTTAGTTAACAATTTTTAAAATGAAACCATGGAGCAAGAGAGATAGTTCAGCAGTTAAAAGCGGCTTCTGCTCTTCCAAAAGACCTGAGTTTCTTTTCAGCATTCATACTGAGCTGCTCACAATTGCCTATGTTACCAGATCAGGAATTGACATCCTCTGCTGGTCTCTGAGGGTCTCTGCATATACTTGACATAGAATCACAAATGCACATGACTCTTAAAAAAGATTAAGATTTAAAATAAAAACATTTTTTTAATTGAAAAAAATCATTAAGTCATAGTCAGGTGGGGTAGCATACACCTACAATCCTGGTACTTAGGAAATAGAAACAGGAGGATCAGGAGGTTCAGCTACACAGTGGGGTTAAGGCTACATGAAACTGTCTAAAACACAGCAAAATCAAAATTTAAGCCATAGACTGGGAGAATATTTTGAAAACCTTGTCTGAGAGAGACCTTGTATTCAGGAGATGTGTGTTGTGGCACATACCTTCACTCCTAGCACTTTCAGGGAAAAGCAGGCATGTCTCTGCGTTTGAGAACAAGTCTAGTCCACACGTTGAGTTCCAGCCCAGCCTGGCTGCATAGAGAGGACCCTGTCTCCACGACGCTGGCCTGAATAAAACATGGCAGACAGCACAGGACAGACGCCCAGCACCTCTAGCTAGGCAGTGCAGACACCACACAGGCATCAGGCAGCACAGTAAGGACATGGCGCAGCTCTCGGCGGTTCCTAGAGAAGTAAAGCTATACCATACAATTTACACAATTCTTTTTTTTTTTTTTTTTTTTTTTTTTCTTTTTTTTGAGACAGGATTTCTCTGTGTAGTCTTGGCTGTTCTGGTCTGGCTCTGTAGACCAGACAAACTCACAGAGATCCACCTACCTCTACCTCTCAGGTGCTGGAATTAAAGGGGTGTGCCACTACACCTGGTTTAATTTACACAATTCTACTCGGGTACTTACTCGTCAAACAGTAAAGAAAATAAGGTTTGTTTTTAAAGGCCTAAGCCGTAAACACCCAAATAACAA